AACATTTGGTATTACTAAACCTATATGGAGAAAATAATTTTACCTATATTGGTAGCTAAGTAGTCATTTCCCATAGGTAAATTTGAGAATGGATATAATGGTGCAAGATTACATTGATATCTTAATAATGCTGAAACAGAAAAGCCTCTTTTTTTTTTCTTTCTTGAGATAGAGTCTCACTCTGCCACCCAGGCCTGGGTGCAGTGGCCATGAATCTCAGTCAAGTGCCAACCTCCACCTCCCAGATTCAAGTGATTCTTATGCCTCAGCCTCCTGGTAGCTGGAATTACAGGCATCTGCCAGCCACGTCCAGCTAATTTTTATAGTTTGTAGAGACGGGGTTTCACCGTGTTGGCCAGGATGGTCTTGAACTCCTGACCTCAAGTAATCTGCCCACCTAGGCCTCCCAAAGTGCTGGGATTACAAGCATGAGCAACCATGCCCAGCCAAAAGAGCTTTTAAAAGATAATTCTAATTGCTTATGTCAGTCAAGTCACTAATTTTTTTGGTTTTTAATTTTAGATACAAAAGTTTTGCAGTACTATTTCAATCTAGGATTACAGGTAAGTGCCATGTTAAAATTTCTTTGATAAGCCCTATTTTCAAAGTATAAACTGTTTTGATAATCAGACCCTTGAACTTCAAAAACCAAAAGCACTAAGGCGACTAAAAATTTTATTTCTGTCTGAGAGATCTCTCAAGATGATGTAGTTCAGTTGTCTGCTTTAGCCTCCCAGTTCTTTAGTTTCTCTTACAAAATACTCATTAAACTGAAGAGAGAGGTACTGGGCTGTAAGCAGCACAACCTCAGCATATATTAGATTAGCCATCATATTTAACATTACATACTAACTTTTCACTGTGGTGGTCTGTCTCAAAATAAATGAATTATCCTAAAATATTTTTATGACTATCTTTCCATTTTATGTGAAAATTAGACAGATTCAAAGATACTTAAGGCACTGTGTTTTGTTCTTTGAAACCAATGAGAACAAAGACACAATGTACCAGAATCTCTGAGACACAGCTAAAGCAGTGTTTAGAGAGAAATTTATAGCACTAAATACCCACATGAGAAACCGGGAAGTATCTAAAATCAACACCCTAACATCACAATTAAAAGAGCTAGAGAAGCAAGAGCAAACAAATTCAAAAGCTAGCAGAAGACAAGAAATAACTAAGATCAGAGCAGAACTGAAAGAGAGAGAGACACGAAAAACCCTTCAAAAAATCTGAATCTAGGAGCTGTTTTTTTTTTTTTTTTTTTTTAAAGATTAACAAAGTAGATACACCATTAGCCAGGTGAATAAAGAAGAAAAGAGAGAAGATCAAATAGACATAATAAAAAATGATACCACAGAACACGAACTACTGTCAGAGAATACTATAAACACCTCTATGCAAATAAACTAGAAAATCTAGAAGAAATAGATAAATTCCTGGACACACACACGCTCCCAAGACTAAAGCAGGAAGAAGTTGAATCCCTGAATAGACCAATAGCAGGCTCTGAAATTGAGGCAGTAATTAATAGCCTACCAACCAAAAAAAGTCCAGGACCAGATGGATTCACAGCCGAATTCTACCAGAGGTACAGAGAGGAGCTGGTACCATGCTTTCTGAAACTGTTCCAATCAATAGAAAGAGAGGGACTCCTTCCTAACTCATTTTATGAAGCCAACATCATCCTGATACCAAAACCTGGCAGAGACACAAAAAAAGAAAATTTCAGGTCAATATCCCTGATGAACATTAATGTGAAAATCCTCAGTAAAATACTGGCAAACTGAATCCAGCAGCACATTAAAAAGCTTATCCACCACAATCAAGTGGATGCAAGGGTGGTTCAACATAAGCAAATCAATAAATGTAATCCATCACATAAACAGAACCAATGACAAAAACCACATGACTATCTCAATAGATGCAGAAAAGGCCTTCTATAAAATTCAACACCCCTTCATGCTAAAAACTCACTATAAATTAGGTATTGATGGAACGTGTCTCGAAATAATAAAAACTATTTAGGACAATCCCACAGCCAATATCATACTAAATGGGCAAAAGCTGGAAGCATTCCCTTTGAAAAACCAGCACAAGGCAAGGATGTCCTCTCTCACCATTCCTATTCAACATAGTATTGGAAGTTCTGGCCAGGGCAGTCAGGCAAGAGAAAGAAAGAAAGGGTATATGAATAGGAAAACAGGAAGTCACATTGTCTTTGTTTGCAGATGACATGATTGTATATTTTAAAAACCCCATTGTCTCATCCCAAAAACTCCTTAAGCTGATAAGCAACTTCAGCAAAGTCTGAACTTGTGTGCAACACAAAATCAGTGTGCAAAAAATCACAAGCATTTCTATATACCAATAATAGCCAAATCATCAGTGAATTCGCATTCACAATTGCTACAAAGAGAATAAAATACCTAGGAATCCAACTAACAAGGGATGTGAAGGACATCTTCAAGGAGAACTACAAATCACTGTTCAACGAAATAAGAAAGGACACAAACAAAGGGAAAAACATTCCATGCTTATGGATAGGAAAAATCAGTATCATGAAAATGACCATACTGCCAAAAGTAATTTATAGATTCAATGCTATTCCCATTAAACTACCATTGACTTTCTTCAATTAGAAAAAACTTCAAATTTCATACAAAACCAAAAACGAGTCCGTATAGCCAAGACAATCCTAAGCAAAAAAGAACAAAGCTGGAGGCATCATGCTATCTGACTTCAAACTATTTTACAAGGCCACAGTAACCAAAACAGCATAGTACTGGTACCAAAACAGGTATATAGACCAACAGAACAGAAGAGAGGCCTCAGAAATAATGCCACAGATCTACAACCATCTGATCTTTGGCAAACCTGACAAAAACAAGCAATGGGGAAAGGATTCCCTATTTAATAAATGGTGTTGGGAAAACTGGCTAACCATATGCAGAAAACTGAAACTGGACCCATTCCTTACACCTTATACAAAAATTAACTCAAGATGGATTAAAGACTTAGACATAAGACCTAAAACCATAAAAACCCTAGAAGACGACCTAGGCAATACCATTCAGGACATAGGCATGGGCAAAAACTTCATGACTAGAACACCAAAAGCAATGGCAACAAAAGCAAAACTAAAATTGACAAGTGGGATCTAATTAAACTAAAGAGCTTCTGCACAGCAAAAGAAACTATCAGTGTGAACAGGCAACCTACAGAATGGGAGAAAGTTTTTGCCATCCATCTGACAAAGGACGAATATCCAGAATCTACAAGGAACTTAAACAAATTTACAAGAAATAATCAAAAAGTGGGCAAAGAATATGAACAGACACTTTTCAAAAGACATTTATGTAACCAACAAACATGAAAAACTCATCATCACTGGTCATTAGAGAAATGCAAATCAAAACCATAATGAGATACCAGTTAGAATGGCAATCATTAAAAAGTCAGGAAACAACAGATGCTGGAGAGGATGCAGAGAAATAGGAACGCTTTTACACTGTTGGCTGGATTGTAAATTAGTTCAACCATTGTGGAAGACAGTGTGGCGATTCCTCAGGGATCTAGAATGAGAAATACAATCTGATCCAACCATCCCATTACTGGGTATATACCCAAAGGATTATAAATCATTCTATAAAGACCCATGCACACGTATGTTTATTGCAGTACTATTCACAATACCAAAGACTTGAACCAACTCACATGCCCATCAATGATAGACTGCATAAAGAAAATGTGGCACACATACACTGTGGAATACTATGCAGCCATAAAAAAAGACTGAGTTCGTGTCCTTTGCAGGGACATGGATGAAGCTGGCAACCATTCTCCACAAACTAACACAGAAAAAGAAAACCAAACACCACATGTTCTCACTCATAAGTGAGAGTTGAACAGTGAGAACCTATGGGCACAGGGAGGTGAACATCACACATCGGGGCCTGTTGGGGGATTGGGGGCAAGGGGAGGGAGAGCATTAGGACAAATACCTAATGTAGATAATGGATTGATGGGTGTAGCAAACCACCATGGCACATGTATACCCATGTAACAAACCTTCGTGTTCTGCACATGTATCCCAGAACTTATAATAAATATAAAAATAAAGAGCTGCATTTTTAAAGCACTCGTGTGTTCAAAGATGCTTGCTCAACACTGGTTTTTCACCACTCCCCTGAGTTGTAGAGGCAGGTGGGTACTGACAAATGTCTTCATCAATGAAAGGTGTCTCTGATTTGAGGTGAGAGCTCTTTTATTTTAGTCTTTCAGGGATCACTTTCCCTCTGAAATACACTTGACTTAAAATGTAACAACATGGCATATTTACTGAAAGGAATAATGCATCTTAAGATCTCTCAGATGATGATAAACTCTATGCTGTCCTGGATGAATGCTCAGATTAGTTCATATTCCCTGACACTGATTTCCCTAAAGCTTTAGACATGTCAGTGCCAAGAAAACTGTCTTCCCAAATAGTACACATCTATAAATTAAGAGTAATGGGGTGGGTTTTTGTTCTTTGAGACTATTTTTCCTAAATTCAGTTTCAAGAATTGATAAACCGCTTGCCCCTTCTGTTATGTTAGTTTATTATAGTCACATGTGGAAACTTTGTAATCTATTTCACTGAGGCATTTAAAAATATTTTCCTGCCTTTTACATCATGGAATACCAGGAGATGCTGAGTAGATATTTCAATATTTTTCTTATTAGAAATCATAGTGTCTATTGTAGTACGTTTTGAAACTATGGTATAAAGAGAACTAAAATCACCTCTATGATCACTGTATACTTTCATATATTTTCTTACAACTTTTGTATTTTACGAACTATGGATTATGCTGTATAATTTTTTAATCTTTTAACAATACAGGCATTTTTTCTTTAAATAGTTTACAGCATGATTTTCGTTGCCTGTATAGTATTTCATTACGGGTATATAATTTATCCAGTTCCCTGTTGTTAAATACTATGTGCGATGTTTTTTGCTTTTAAAAATACTATAAAAGACACCTTTGTATACAGGTCTTCTAGACAATTCCCTGAAAGAATTTTTAGGTTTAAATATGAGATGCAAATTCCGCAAAAGATCCTGAAGTTCTTATAGAGAACAGACTAAAGTGTCAAGTTTTTAGGTCAAAAAAGTCATTGCTACCTCACCTGAAAATCATGTCCCAATTCTTACTTTTTTTTTTTTTTGGTCTGTGGGGAACTGTATTACATTAAGAATAGAGAAAAGTAAAGTTTCTTGTTTTTTTGCTGCCCTTTCTTGCTCAAGTGCTATTACCACAACTACTGGCACTCCATGGTCTATGTGCCACAGATGCAGCAGCAGCTTCATGTAGAGAATTATCCAGTCTATACTGAGCCACCTCTGGTAGATCCAGCCATTCCTCAATTTTACAGTGAGGTGAGGAGAGAAGATGGCACACAGGCGGAAGCATCAGCAAATGGTGAGTATGTAATGAGATTGCCAGCAAGAAAGACAGTTGGATTTTACTGTGTGTAATTCAGTAATAACTTTCATATGTTTCATGAGGTCCATATACTACACCAGTGATTCTCAAAGCATGATATGTGGACCTCTTGTGGTCCCTAAGACTCTTTCAAGGGAGTCATGAGGTCAGAAGTGTTCATAATACTACTAAGATTTTATTTGCCCCTTTCACTGGCTTGTATTTTCATTGAGGGTATAGAAACCAGTGATGGGTAAAACTGCTGGCACCTAAGCACAAATTGGTAGTGGCCCCAGACTCTGCTAGTAATCAGTGTTTATCTCACTGCCATACACCCATGGTACAAAAATGCCAATCTTTTGTTTAATCAAAGACATTTTTACTAAATTTTTATCCTTGAATAGTTGTATTTTTCTTTGTGACAAAAATGGAACTACTTATAAAACACTTCTGCATACTAAATGAAGTATAATGATTAACTTAAGGAAAAAGACTTGTGCTATTAAGTTATGAGTTGTACTTGCTGACTTGAAAGAGGGATAAATTATCATTATTCACACTTAGTTGATCTGGTCGGCATTTTCTTAAATGAACAAAGTGAGCCTGTCACTTTAGGATAAATAACTAGTAATATTTGTTTTCAAAGATACAATTTTAGCTTTCAAATAAAAATTAGAATTTAGGAAAACATTTATTTTCCACCACGAGCTTGACACCTTCCCACCAACTGAAACTCCTGTAATAAGTAGAGCTGAATGTAGTTTCTTAAATTGTATGAGGAAATGTGTCAACATTTGGAAGATCTGCATAACTCAGTAAAGGAGGAGTTTTACCTTTGAGGAACTACCACTTATGTAGTTTGGGTGTAGCATCAAAGAATATCTACAATTACCTGAAAGGCTAGGTATTAAAATACTGATGGTTCACGCCTGTAATCCCAGCACTTTGGGAGGCTGCGGCAGGTGGATCACCTGAGTTCAGGAGTTCGTACCTGACTTGCCAGGGTTGTTACAGAACTAATTGGGACCTTATGTATAAGTATGCTATTACCTGGTGCATATTAGGAATACTACTTTCTCTCTTCCCTTCCTTTTTTAAAGCATATTACATTATCAGTCTTTTTTTTTTTTTAATTTTGTGCAATATACCTTCTATAGAGCTATTTTTAATTGTAATTAACTATGAGGCAGTGGCAGTCTTAATTTCACAGAGTTAATCTAAGCCCAAGTAATGAATTTTTTTTTTTTTTTTTGTCTAATGTGTATGCTCATTATAGCAAGATCAAAACAGCATTTATTTCCACTGGAACTGACTCGTGGCAAAAGTGCTATGAAATTAAAATTTGATCTTAATGACATTCAAGAGATGACACTTTTAGGGTGCTCTTCAGAATTATACTTTCAGGTATAGACCAGACTGTCCAGACACCTGAGTTTTTCATTGCTAAATGGTTATTCGGATGATGTCTCTTGTAAAACTATTGGATAACTCAATTGTGACCACCTCTTATAAGAATTTAACTAGAAGGACTCTAGAGAATATTTATGTATTTAGCTTGTTGATACCTAAATCATCCCAGAAAGATAGCTGTCTGTACGTTGAATAGATTTGACACATGTATTTCACAGTTTTTTAATTTGGAAATTTTCATATTTAGTCATTATTTGTATTTAAAGTACTCCTGCTGCAATTGCTGTGATCTTTCTTATAGTCAATAAATTTTATTTTCACACATAAGAACATCCACTTATGTTGCATGGGGTTCTGTTTTGGTGAATTTTTGTATGTAAAGTAGACTGTATACATTCTTTCTTTCAGATACTTTTCCGAATGCTGATCCTTCATCTGTCCCTCATGGAGCAGTCTATTATCCAGTAATGTCAGATCCCTATGGGCAGCCACCTTTGCCAGGTTTTGACTCCTGCCTCCCAGTTGTGCCAGATTATTCCTGTGTTCCCCCCTGGCATCCAGTTGGTACAGCATATGGTGGTTCTTCTCAAATTCATGGTGCTATAAATCCTGGGCCAATTGGCTATCTTGCTCCATCTCCCCCAGCTTCTCACTATGTACCTCAGGGTATGTAAGATCCAGCAGTATGAAGTATTCTTGCACTGCCATTTTCTTGCTGTTTTTGTTTTTAGAAAGTTTTTTATGTTAGTGGTTAAATGATTTAGGTGATTAGTGTTTACTATTGTATTTGTCTTTAAAATTATTTTACCTTTTGATTTAAAATAGTACTTTAAAATAAAGGGATATTATTTTGGGCTGTGACTAAGGAAATTGAGATGGATGTACAACTAGCCCCATATTGAGCATACTTCATTGTATTCAGCTGTTTTCCTGTCAGCCATTTGTCAGCTTTATATTAGCTGATGGTACCAATTGATAAAATGAATATAAAGTATTTCATTGGTTCAGAGATCACACATCATATTAAACCATGCAGAATTGGAATAACTTGAACTTTTTTCTAGAAAGTAAAACCAAGAGCCTTTGCTTCTGGGTAACTCACTTAATATTAAATTAAAGAGCTCTTCAGGTTTCTTGAGAATTGTCTGAAGCCAGTTGCATTCTGTGATATCAGTTTTGAAGGCACATGGTTCTCTGCTTTAGATTTATCCCATACGCTATTGTTTAATACTGGATGTATGTAAGTGTTTTACTGCACTGTATTGAATTGGTGTCTTTTGCACAGTTAGCAGTAAATAAAAAATAGCATTTAAAATTGCCAAAACAAGTGGGATTTTTTCTTTTTGCGTTTTCATGTCAGCAAAGAGTACCAGACGTTTGATTGTTTCAACATGTTTTTTCTCTGGCATTTTGGTTGTCAAAGAATGTGAATTTTTAGCATGAACTGGTGGGGAGTAGTTGCAGAGCCACGTGAAATGTTATTTAATCTAGAATCATTGCAGCACATACTACCATATCTACGCCTTTTCTCTGGAAAATGTTTTTTTTGTGTGTGTGCATGTTTTTTAAAGCATCTATAACCCTCTTATAGAACTTTAGACTTCTCATTGTCCTATGCTTTCAATAGTTATAGGGGCCAAGGGAAAACTCCTTCACCCTCTAAAGGTTCACCGAAAGCTCACGAAAGGCAGGTAAAGAGGAGAAAGGGCATACAAATTTTAATGCGTACACGGGAACCTTCAGAATGAAGACCCAAAAATACAGGGGAAATTGTCCATTTTTATGCTTAGGTTCAACGAAGTATGGACAGCCATGTGGAAATATAATTGGACAAAAAGGGTATGATCTGTTAATGGACTTGAGTAGGGGAAACCCAACAAGGCTTATTCGTGTTCTTGGCCTCTCTGAGCACACATTCCTTCCTTCTGGGTATGGGACAGGATCCTCTCTGGAATAGGGGGTCTTATGACAGTCAAACCAGGTAGATCAGATAAATGTTTTATGGCCAGTTTTTACACAGAAAGGTGTAGTAATATTTTTAGGTTTTAGAAAAGTTCGAGTAATATTTTTAGGTTTTGTGGCTGGCTTTCAGGAAAAAGGGGTTCTGGTTTCTATGACCCACCTTGGGGAAGAGGGACTCTAGTTTCTATGGCTAGCTTTGAGGAAGAAGGAGACTGAGAGACAGGAGGGCAGGAGAAGGTCAGAGAAAAACTTGCTACTGAGGCCTTCATTTGAGGTTATTGTTTTCTGAGTCCAGACATTGTCACATCTTACCGTTTTTGTTTTTAGACTTAATCTTGTATCTCTGAAGGCCTGGCTTGTCTTTGGCTTGCTGTGAGATACATTTCATCATCCTTTTTTGCCTTCTCCCTTTCATCTATCTGAAGACCACAAGATGTCCTGTATTGATCAGTTCTTCTCTGAGGGGAAAATAATCCTGAATGCTTTGCTCTGTCTCACCTGACAAACAGCTATTTAAAAAGTGTTCTTTGGTTGCCACAAAACCTATTTATATCACTTTCTTAAAAGGTTATTTATGTTTGTGAATCAGTCTCTCCTTTCCCCCTGTGGCTACACCCTGGCCAAAAAGAACAATTTGAGACATCAGGGCTTGAAGTACTTGAACAGTTGAAGGTACTGGAGTGGAACATTGCAAAGAAGATGTGTCTTCAATGTACTGTTCTCAAGATGATTGATATTGATGAATTCTAAATAAGCCAGTGTGGTAAAGGGTTCTGCTTCATAATAGTACTGATTGGATTTGGTTTTGTATCCTTGATTTTAAGAAGGCCTTGCACTACAAGTTAGCATCTGACAACTTAAGGTGGATGGCAGTGCACTAATGTTTTATAACAACCAACTGTGTGTATTAGTGTTTTAACTTCTCTGCTAACCTCCTGGGTTCTCAGTTTATGCAGCCTGCAAATTGTGTTTTGCATGAAGGTTTATTTTACTCAAGCTTATAACATGGAATAGCCCCTTCCCAACATGTTTTGAATGTGCAAACATTTCTGAAGTATACATATCACAGAAAGTGATTGTCCTCTGTCTTCAGCTGTCAGTGGTTCACCAGCTTCTAAGGGGTGTTTTAGAAGATTGTAGTCTTGAGAATACCGGTTTGGAATTTGGCGGGTTTTGAGACAAGCGCATCTGCCTTAGATTTCCAGTAGATTTGTTTTTATTTCAAACTTGTATATGCTGCCTTGCCTTGTGCTCTATTACCAATTAATGAAATTTAATCATGATTGGTATTAACGTAACCTGGAAGCAATGTGTGTACTAGATTGTGAACTAACTATCAATTGAGGTCAGTGTTTATGGCCTGCTTAAATCATACAAGTTCTCTTTGTTTATGTATTACAATCAGTCTTCTCTAAGAAATAATCAAGGAGTGAGTCCTGGCCTTCCTATTGTTGGGGTAGAGGTGAGGGTAACCTGTACTGCTGCAGAAGTCTGCAGTCTTTCTTGGAGGCAGCTGCCAGGTAAAAAGGAAGTGGTTTTTGTGATGAAAACCAAAACAAAACCCTAACACTTAATCACCATATAGGATAAACATAGTGGTAGACTTCTCCTTTTTACAGATTACCTCTTAAGTTGCTCTTGTTGCAAAAGGTATCCTGTCTTTTCTCTGCTTTTAACCAAATTTCATCCATTTAGAATTGTTTAGGGAAGGAAATATAAAGGCACTGTAGTTTGTTTGGAACCCTTTACTTACAGCCCCTTCTTGCCATGAATCTGGTTACGCTAAAGGTAAATAGCTGGATAATTTCTCATAGCCAGGAAAAATAATTAAATTCATTTGTATGCTGTATATATTCTCAAAACTGATTGTGGCTTTCTGCCTTGATTAAGAGCAGATGAAAACATTGAGTTAGTTTTACTGTTGAAATGTAAGACTTACGAATTTAAAACAGCTTTCATTTCCTTAAAGCTTATAATCAAGGTGTAAGCTTTGGATTTAAAAGCTTTGGATTTAAAAGAATAAACAAATCATGGGATTTTTTTTTATGTGAACACCAGACATTCAGAACTTAAACAAATCTCCATAGATAATGAATGATATAGTCTATTGGGAAGGGTGGAGCATGAACTTAATCTAGACTTTTGTAAATCTGGGCCAAATTTAGTTCATTTCATATGAAACCTCTTTAAGACCTTTTATATTTACATTTATAATGAAGAATCCATATAATTTATATAAGAATTCAACAGAACTAATATGAGCATCCCTAATCTGAAAATCCGAAATGCTGCAAAATCTGAAACTTCTTGAGCACTGACTTCCTGCTCAAAGAAAATGCTCTTTGTGGCAATTTGGAATTTCGAATTAGGAATACTCAACCAGTAAATATAAAGCAAATATTCTCAAACCTGAAAAAGTTTGAAATTCCAAACGCTTCTGGTCCCAAACATTTCGGATAAGGGATACTCTATATAGCAAGAGACAACCTCTTGTTTCCCTCCATCCTACCTAGAATGTTAAGTTTCAGTAGGAGCAGCTTGATTTAGAACACTTGTCTTCTCTTCCACCTCAATGACCAAAGGCAGTTTTCCCTAAAATAGTTTTCATGGACATGGAGGGTGCCTGTGTGTGGGAGATGTAGCTTCAGGAAAGGATTGACCTGAGTTTAGGTAATGACCTGCTGTGTGACTAAAACTGCTTTAGAGTGATTATGGGAGGTGCTTCAAAATAATTTCAGGATGAGTATTATAGATGAAAGAACACTAACTTAATTATTCAGTGACACTAGCTGTGTGTCATTGAATAATTATCATTGAAACTTGGGTTCATTATGCTATTTTGTTTGAAATTTTTGATAATAAAAACTACCTTGGTAACCTGCCATCTGGAGAGGAGATGTTTGCTTATGAAGTTAGTATGAATTTGGGTTTTTTGAAATGTTATCTTGAATCCTGAAAAGAATTATAAGGTTGTAGAGAGGCTGTCACATAAAGTCCGCCCTTTAAAACATCTGGAGTTTTGGGGAAAGCTATGGGATGGAAAATGGGTTCTTGAAATTCTGTAATTAATATTTGCTAGCTACACATAAAACCAATTTTAATAAACACGACATTTATTTTAGTGGAAACTAATTGAGGTAAGTGAACCAATTCAGGTTTTATTGTTTCAGTAATTGTTTTCCCAATAATCACTACCTTTTTTTTTTTTGAGAAGGAGTTTCCCTCTTGTTGCCCAGGCAACAATGGTGCAATGGTGCGATCTCAGCTCACCACAACCTCCTCCCCTTCCCGGATTCAAGTGATTCTCCTGCCTCAGCCTCCGACGTAGCTGGGTTTACAGGCATGCGCCACCACACCCATCTAATGTTGTATTTTTAGTAGAGACGGGGTTTCTCCATGTTTGTCAGACTGGTCTCGAACTCCTGACCTCAGATGATCCACCCACCTCGGCCTCCCAAAGTGCTGAGATTATAGGCGTGAGCCACCGCACCTGGCCGATCACCACCACTTTTGAGTTTACTTTTTTTCTTATGGCCGCTGGTGAGGGGTGATCTTGGAAACAAGAAAATCTGACTATTGTTTAGTTTTTTTCCTGGTAGGTGTCTCTTGCCACTGAGTAGACCTTTTGTGAAGGGGGTGGGGTCATTACAAACAATATTGAGGTTAAACTGAATCAGTTCTTGTAAATTCAGACCAGTCAGTGGATAAAAAGGTTAAAATCTATTCTAGCCAAACATTATTGGTTCATAGTATTGATTTATTAGTGTTATATGGATGGTCAGTCCCCTCACCCTAATTAGCAAATCTTTCTTGCAGAACTTTTGACTCTTTCCAGACTATGTAATACAGGTTTTTCCAAATTGTTTGCAGAATTGCTGAAAAAATTCTACCCTAATACTAGACTTAAACTAATGTTTTATTTCCTTTCTCTGGTATATTGGCTACCTCAAAGTGAAAATTTTTACCTTCATAAAAAGCTATTTTATATTCAGTTGTTTTGTTTGTTTTAGCAGTTGAAGTTTGTTTCGATTTTCTTTAATTCCTTTTAGCTCTGCTAAAATAGCTTCAACTACCCAAGAAGTTTTTCCTTTCCTGGTTGTTTTGAAACATGGCATAGGATGTTGTTAATTTAGTTCTTTTTCTTTACTCACTGCTTATTTTTTCTCCAACATTTTATTATAAAAATATTTTAAACACAGAGAAGTTGAAGGAATTGTTCAGTTAACATCTGTATATTTACTACCTAAGTTCTATACTTAACATTTTCCTGTACTTGCTTTTTCACATATCCATCTATAAGTCCTTATTTTTGATGCATTTCAAGGCAAATTGCAAACTTAAGTACAGATTACCTGTTGTAAA